AATGTTACACCTTCTTAGTATTCAATGCATATGTCATGCTCGTCAACTACTTCATCAATCTATATTTATATGCCATCTTGTATGACTCACTGAAATGAATATAAATATTCCAAAAAAAATTTAAAAAGGCTCAAAATCTACTATACACTATCTGTGAGACGGTTACAATTTACAAACTCTCTAACGGTTTAGAAATTACTGAGGTAAAGGCGCGTGAGTCCCCTCTAAACCAGCAAGACAATACACAGACAAGTCAATGTTCAATTATAAAAAAATAAACAAGGTTACAATGAATGACAGTACAGATTTCCAATACAATACAATTGATTCACAAAGGTGAAATATTTGGTCACAAATCTAAATATTAACTTATCAAAGTCTTGATATTTTCGGTAAAGACAGATGTACTCATTGACGATTGTGGACCACTGTTAAAGGTCAATATAGACGAGTCCTCTTTGTGCGGAAGCAAATGTACTGTAAGTCCCTATGGTTCCTAGTGTTGTGATCTACCTTCGGTTGTTGGCAATATGTAGCCTGTTATTATATTGTATTGTTTTCTGTTAGTAATCTGTTTTAGAGTTACATACTAGTTGTATATTCATATCCGTAATATTCTATACTGAACAGCAAAAGAAACGTAAGTTTCGAAAAAATTCATGTTTATGAAACGTTCATGATAAAGTGACGTCATGTCATGCATTTTGACGCCCATACGAAACATTCTCACAAACACACAAAAGCACGTGCATCGACGGGTCTGGATGGAAAGCGTGTATTTCACTCTGAGGTACCCTTTATAAAGGTTTGTGTCAAAAACAACTAGCTTAGTATTGACGCAAGGAGGTGTACGCGCCACACAAACGATGCCTAGACTAACGACTGAGCAGAAGGTTATGGCCATTGTAAAGTTGCACCGAGGTAGTTCTGCAACCACTGTAGCTATACAATTGGGCTGTCATCTTACCACCACTTGCTCAACGTCATCAGCAAACCGGGGCTGCTGCTAAATCGTCCCCGTACCGGACGGCCACGAGTGACAACTCGTGCGCAAGATTGGTTCATCCGGATCGCTCATCTAAGGAACCAGACTCAAGCAGCAACAGTAACAGCAGCTTTAGTCCAGCGATACGATTAGGCGTCGTCTTTGGACTGCTGGAATCCACTGTAGACGGCCATATGTGGGGCCAATTTTGACACGTCAACAACGTCAGCGATGTTTACAGCCCTCACACAACAAGGGTGTCGATGGATTATCTGAACGATGGATGCTTAGAACAACATTAACGTTCTTCCATGGCCGTATCTTTCCCCGGATATGGCACCCATTGAACATTTTGGGACGAAATTGGACGTAGGATTGCTGCAAGTAGATAGCCAGTCACACTTCCATAGTTGAAAGAGAGGTTCCGTCCGTCCGTCCGTGCGTCAGTCACACTTTGTCAGAAGCATATCTCCTAAACTATTCGTGATAGCTTAACCAAACTTGGTGCAATTGTCAAGCATGATCCCTAGATGAGCCTTTTGGGGTTGGACCCAGATATGAATTTTATATTTTGTGGTTTCCGTAGAAACGTGACTAAGGCTGTGAATATGAGGATGTCATCTTGTCCGGAGCAGATCTCCCAAACTTTAGCCTTATCAAACTTGACGTCTTTGATTTCTTTGATTGGCATTCTAGAAGTTGGGTAGATGAAGAATGAGGAGTATTTTTATGGATAAACAACTTCTTTATTCTATATAGACGACGTTTCGACATAGATTCTAATGACGTTGTGACAACACTATACAGAACCTCCTGCAGGCCACAGGCAGACCCAACCCGGCAAAGAAGCCAGATCCCGCAGGTGTCGTCTACCAGATAGAATGCGACTGCGGCGAATCCTATATTGGTTAAACATCAAGGCCAGTCACCATTAGGATCAAAGAACACCAGGCCTCAAAAAGAAGGAAAGACTCTAAATCCGCCGTAGCCGACCACGTTAAAGCTAACCCAAACCACAACATCAGTTGGAACACCACCAAAGTCATCGAAAGGAACCAGCCTGATTTCAAAACCCGAAAACTACTTGAAGCTGTGCGCATAAAGAAGATTTGTCCAGTCATCAACAGAGATGAAGGATATTTCTTCCCCAAGGCCTATTATCACTTGCTCAATTAATTTCATGTAACCCCACTCAACAATTGTACATTATCCATTGTGTAACACTGTACATTATCCATTGTGAAAACATCACTTCACCACTGGCTTCCCAACAGTCCCTTTATCACCTATGTAAACAACCTATGTATATCATTCCCTACTGGCAGCCCATCAACATCCTTAATCCCTTATGTATACAACTATGTACATGTTCTTTACTGGCTTTCCATCAACCTACTCAATCCTGTGTTATCATCCTCTTCTATTGTATAAACAACTTATTTTTCGCCTCATCGCTCATCTATTGTACAAACATCTCATATATATATATATATATCACCCAAATTACTTCCCATGTACCATTTGCTTCACAACGACATTATATCCATAAAAATAGTCCTCATTCTTCTTTATCAAACTTGGTACACATGATCACCATGATCCATAGATGTGCCTTTTCCGGGTTAGACCAGTTTGTTAATTCTATTTTTTGTGGTTTCCATGACAATAAGTTTGACTTTTAACTTTTACTGAAATTGGTGGTTGTACTCTTTTCCGGAGCAGAACTTTAAAACTGTTCACTATTTCTTCACCAAACTTGGCACATAGATAGGTCTGGTGGTGTACTGGTGCCTTTGGTAGTTTTTGATCCATAGATGTGCCTTTTCGGGGTTACACCAGTGTATTAATTTTATTTTTTGTGGTTTCCATGACAACAAGTTTGACTTTTACTGAAATTGGTTATTGTGCTCTTTTCCGTTCACTATTTCTTCACCACACGTGGCACATAGATACGTCTGGTGGTGTACTGGTGGCTTTTTGGTAGTTTTTGATTTCTGAATTAAATATATCGTTTGCATTTCCATGGCAACAACTTCGACTTCGACTGAATTTGGTGGTAGTGTTGTTTTCTGGAGCAGAACTGTAAAACCTTACAATACTCTCCTTCCACTCTGCCGTTAGACACCAAAACATTTGACATACATAACAAGTAGACATATTCATGAAGAGTATTTTGCCATTGCGGGGATATTGATGACTTTGTCTTCTTGTTTTAAGTGGAACCACTTGCCTCAGGCATTCTCTCAGACTCTAGTGAACTCAATGAGGTGATGTTGCAGGGCTGTGTGCAAGCTCAAGGTGGCTATACGCGCTACTGAAGAGACTGCCACTTTTCGTGTTCATTTGACGGACTGTGATTAATATGAACTTAAAACAATTTGAATTATACATATTTTTATTCATGAAGATGAATTTGGATTGGTGAACAAGCATTACTGCTTATATTAACACAGCTTCCCATGCAACATATAATACAACATGAAAATGGAGGATTTGACGTCATCGATACTGACCATTGCATAAATATAATATTTTTAAAATATATAAATCAATCATGAGAAGGTTGTTGAGTAAATTTCGTTATTTTCCTGAGAAAATTCAAAGCGTTGTGTCATGGTTATATAATTGTGGACGGATTCAACTATTTTCTGGTTTACACAGGGAGTAAGTTCTTTGTTTCCCTTAAGAATGGTATCCAGGTTATAACCGGTAGTGTAAAAATACATATTAAGTCTTATCCGAATATAGTTACGACAAGTAATGAAATAGTGCAGGGCGTCTTCACTCTGATGTCCAGAGTCTATTAAATGTCTGTTATTCTTATCGGCGTTTAGGTCGCTACATCCGAGCCTGACAACAATTTAACACCAACATTCAACTGTTAAATTGACAGTGTTTTCTATAGAATAAATGATAAGACATAATTTTGGTTGTCTTCTATTTAAAAACCAAAAAGCCAGACTTGCGTTTCTTTTGCCGCTTCGTATTGTTGGCTTTACTGTCCTTTCCTGACAGGTTTTTAAAACTTTAGCTGTATTTATTCTAGAATTATTACTTGATTTTAGTCACGAGTAAGTAAATATTTCACTCATTCACTAAAATAATAGCTACTTAATTTGACATTTTAATTAACCCAAACACATCAATATCTGTGATATTCTGGTAGTGTCATCGACAACAGGGGTTTCAATTTCTAATTTCAATGATTTTAATATATAAATTGTTTTCGTCACGATATGGCTGAAATATTGCCGATTTGACGCTAAATATTAAGTGACTCACTCACTCCCAGTGAGGTGATCTACCGTTAGTTACTTGCGATCTGTAGCCAGTTCCACATCAGTGTGATTAACAAATATCGCCAAAAACATGGCAAATGTGCGGACCTCGCTTATGAAATATCACGCTTGTATCACAAGTAAAAGGTTGCACGAATGCCAATTGCTCTAAAACAAAATCGCCGTTTAGGCGGCATTGCTAAAAAGAGTCAAATTTTAACGAATAAGACTTTCAGCAAGTTATGGCATTTAAGATATAGGTTTGCAGTCTCTTATAACTGAGGTTATTTTTACGGCACAAAGAGCAGCAATAAGTAAGTAATGGTTGCTGTAAGTAATGTTTAGTAGGTGCTATCTGGCGATCACTTCACACACTGTTTACCAAATATGTGTATATACACCAAATATTTGTAACTCCATATATACAATAAACACTTCTCCACCAATCCATCAATACGGACTTGTTGTCAATGTATTTCCGGCATTACGTGCTGTCTGTAATGTCTTCATTGTTGAAAATATCATTGCATGCGAGTATCATGCGCCACTCCTTCCCCCAGCATGTAGTTTCCAGTGAAAATATGTGCACTATACACATTAATATATGTGTAACCAAACCAGTGTACGTATGTACTGAGGCACACGAATGTCACCCTTGTATAGAGAATGTACGCTGATTTATGACTAACTTTGGAAAATGCCACCAACCAACGAAAAGGACTTCTTTCTGTTTCCAGATGGATGATTTCCTCCATCCCCAAAGTCTCACAAGTCCGGAAAAGACGAAACACATTTCATGTGTGGTTCTTGTCTTGAAGCCAGGAATGGAACTTGGCGAGAACTTAAGGAGGATCTGTCATCAAATTGATGCGTCTGCTGGTAGTTCAAGTATGTATAGAACACATGTTATAGCAAATGTTGTGCATACCTTGGACAAAACTGACAAAGGATATAATTTGTTAGCATAAAACATAAGGATACCAAAAATGCTTGACTAGACAAGTAACTCATCCAGGCGAATCAAGTGGGAGCTAATTTGATGGATCTTCATCAATATCATTTTCACACACATGACATGTTCTACTTGTTCTCAGCTGAAACAATGTTCAATTGCATGTATGTATTGCATTTCTAAACGTACAAATGTTGTAATGGCACTGAGTTTTGTTTTTTTGGTGATCAGCTGAATCTCTAATCCTTCTACCATAGTTGTTAAGCAGTCCTACATGTGTTTAATTGTTTTCATCAGACATGCGAGTATCTGAATTTCATGTACTGCGAAAATAGACATAAAATAGGCACAAAACCCCAAAACAAATGAATTCCTAAATAAATCATAGTGTAACTAATTAATTTGGTCATTTACAATAACATTTCACTGAATGTTAAATACATTATTCATTTTAGATCACGTGAAATAATTTCTCGAGAAGTCAGTACACACATTCACTGATGATTCCAGAGAGAAGTTTATGAGATTCTAGTTATGAAGGCATTAAATTCCAATCTGATCGCTAATTTTCAGGATTTATTACCACTTATATGACAATAGTTTGAGAAGAGTGTTCAAATCTGCAGTCACCTGCTGTTTAATGCGATTCTTAAAAGGCTTGGAGCGACATCTGCATGTTCATCATTTGATGCATTGACATAAAATATGTCTCTGTAGTGACACCCGCGACGAAGGAATATATATTTGTTTAAGAACTGTTAACACCTGCACTGAGAACACAACGCCAATCGTAATCCAATGCCTGTTTGATTGGCATTCTTAAAGTACGACTTTACAGATGGTGATTTCTTGTTTAGGCTTAGAGGGGTGTTTCCATGTTTATTCTCGCACCGTTATCAAGATAAAAGTTACTACAAGCAGGTGAATAGAAGTATATATGCATAGTTACAAGCAGCAGACTAAGAACAACAACAGGTAATTTAGTAAGTAGCACACCGTTGGATTGGGGCAGCAGGAGAGTAAGATCAACAAACTGTAAACAGGTTGATACCCTATAGCTCGTATGCTGATCTACCTTTAGTTGTTGGTGATAAATAGCCCATTTTTACATTGTATTGTCCAAAATAGTTGTTTACTTTGAAAGATATATGTGAGCTACTTTTACCTAATTTTGTGATCTAGTAATTTTACTGTCCATCGATGACAGGGTTTTATATATTATATGTATGTAGAACTAGTTTTAGTAACGATATGGTTGAAATATTGCCGCTGTGACTTTAAATCTTAACTCACTCACTCACTAAACCGGTTGATTGATGCTAATGGAGCAGCTGATTGACAGATTCTATCTGAAAATCAACTTCAGTATGACAAAGTCGAAATCCACTCCATTGTCCAAGTGATGGAATCAATCAACATTCAATCAGCTTGTTTATCCTGAACGAGGTAAATCGAAATGCCATGATAAATGTTACTGTTCCAGTTCATTTTGAAGTGTGAAATTATTTTCGCTCTTCAAGTGTTCCAACCCATATAGTCATTGTGTTCAGAAACGGCCTGCCTTTTAATAACTATCAGTTTAGATGTTATATATAGTGTATGCACACCCACACCCACACCCACACCCACACGAAACATAGGTAATTTGTGAATTCTGTTCGGACAAAAAGAAATCTCTAATTTGATAAGAAACACTATAAATTATCTTCCTGCACTCTGAGAGAATCATGATATTATTGGTTCATTTGTATGATAATTTTATCTGCGTAAAACTAGGGATTATCAAAAATGTGAAGCAAACTTCCATATACTACCATTTCACCAACATTGCGATATTGACCATGCACATAAATTCAGTTTGATTTCAATGTCATAATTCGCCAAGATCCTCATTTACACATACCATACAAACTCACAGATCAACACAAAACAATAAACAATCAACTAAATTCAAGACAATACAATACAACGTTCAGCGCCTGTGCATGCCCTTCTGTACTGACGAACTTCTTAAGAGTATTAGAGCGATGATCACATCGCGACATGTCGAAACAACCAACAGATTAGCAGATTTCAATAACTTACTTCCAGAGGCTGTCTTAACTAACTTGATTCACTCATCAATAAACAACAGCGTAGGCCTTGTTATTGGTGAATCTTAACTGACTTGACTCACTCATCAATTAACAAGGGATTAGGTCTTGGGACGTGTAAAGAACAATCATTTACCATCACCCACCAGTTATCTCCCCCTGTGGACATTTCCAAAATTGTAAATGTTTGTAAATCTCGTATTTCCAAAATTTTAAATGTTTTGTAAACCTCATCTTTCCAAAATTGTAAATGTCTTGTAAACCTCATTTTTACAAGACATTCACAAGTTTGTAAATGTGGAGTTTTTTCCAGTGTTGGTGGTGGACTGAATTTAATAGTTTTAGGTTACCTTTGCAGGCTCCACTATATACGATGGAGCCATAATTAGTTGGGAACGGACCAATGATCGATATAGGTATAGTAGGGTAGCTTAAAACCCTCCCCACTTAGAAATGGAAACGACTTTCAACAAGTCGGAAATTAGACTTAAGAACTTGGCCTCAGTAACAATTGTGATGGGAGAGCCATATGAAAATAGTTCTGGGTCTGTATACGGTTTGTAGTTTCGACAGAAATGTATACAAATAGGTTTTGATTTAAAACATTTAAAGCCGTTTTCAAGACTAAACACAACTGCAGTTGCCGTACAAAAATATGCATACTTTTACCGCTACAAGGAATATCAAACTCATCAACAAAAAGTGACCCATCGACTAAGTCATTTACAACCTTTTGATAAACTGTTGATTTGGATACACACAGAATACTGCATTGTGGGATACCACATCCTGATTATAACGATCAGACAGGGTTGATCCCATTCGAACTTGAAATTGCCTGTCCTTCATAAACTGTGATATTAAAAGAGGCAAACGACCTCTCAAACCAAAATCATATAACTCCTTTAAAATGCCATGCTTCAAAGTCGTATCATAAGCTTGCTCAAGATAAAAAAAATATGGATACTTCATATTGTTTAGTTACTATTGCAATTTTAACAAAGGATTATAAACGTACCAAATGACCAATGGGTTTTCCTGAAACAGCATTCAATATTTGTTATGAGGTTATTGGTTTCAAGATAATGTATATTGTCATCAACTGCATGAGCTTGCGTAAAAGCTGTATGTTACTTCATTGTAATCTTCATTTTAATGGGAATCAAAATTTATTTTTGAAACTCAGGGACATAATGTGCTGATGAAGAATTTTGAAGAGTTTCACCAATTTTATTTGCAATTTTAGATTTGTCAGTTATTAAATTATCACCATCTTTAAGATGGTGAACAGTAGATTTTGAACCTTTGCCTTTAATTCTCTGAACCATGTTCCACACCTTAGACATTGGCATGCCTCAATTAATTTTGGAGACACAGTTCCTCCAAGATTGCCGTTTGTTTCTGTTTGAAGATACGATGTGCCTTTGCATTTAGTATTTTAATTTATTTATGTTATGGACAGTTGGGTGGCGGCGGAAATAATGTTCTGCCTTTTTCCTCACTTTTCTGTCTTGTCTACATGCTCTACAATCTGTATTCAGCCATGTTTTTCGAACACGTGGTGTCGTAGATGACTTTGGTATACACTCGTCAGCTATTTCATTATAAATGTCAGAAAAAAAGTCTGAATGCAATCAGTTACATTTTTCAACAAAGGTCATTGTGAACTTCCCATTCTGTTGAGACTCTTGTTGTTACAATGGTTTTGTAGTCAATTCATGTGGTGATTGGTAGCCTTTGTAAATCTTTTTTATTGTATGTGTGACTCTTTTGAACTAATGGATGTGGTGATATCATATTCATCTATCACCTTATCAACCACCGCCTTCAAAAGCAAATCAGTTTCGTGCATCAGGGAAATGAGCCTTTTTCTGGAGAACAATTCCAAAAACACCCTCTGCTATTGGGAGATTTTAACATCCATTTGATCTCCAAATGAAACCTGAAATAAAAAGGATTTTTAAATTATTTGACACCAACACATAAAAGTGGTGACTGGGTAGTCACTAGTAGCAAAAATGATCTGGTACAAAACTTATGGGTTCAACATGAGCAAATGTCTGATCGCTTTATGATCAGATTTGAACAGTAGTATACACAATAGCGGAACGGGACCAAGTCCTCCAACGGGAAGTCCCTAATCCCATTCCGCTATTGTGTATACTACTCGCGGATGTACATGCAAAATTTCGCAAAAATCGGTGTAACGGTTTTGGAAATCTTGACTTTTAAAAGTGCATGGTGTCTGTACGTCTAAAGTTTAAAAAATATCCAACGTTAAAATTGGCGTATTTGTTACAAATTTTAACAAAATGTCCACTGCGGTCACAACCCCCAACGAGGGAGAAAGAAATGAGATAGATGTGATGTGCAAGGCTTCCTCCCTCGTGGGATTGCATCCAAATGCGTGCTCTCGACGAGAGCTTCCTCGTTCTAGATACCCTTACTCGAAAGTTTCGAGAGTTGCAAGGAAATCACAGAGGCTAGAGGCTGCACAGCAAGCTGACCCCAGCAGCTACCAAAATGAGCCACCACGGCTCCCGTTGGTCTCGGTAACTGATTTTCCTAGTCTCTGTTAAGTGAGTAAGCTAGCGAGGCGTCAGAGTTGACAGGTCACAGTTGAGAGGCCACAGTTTACAGTTGTAGTCGCGGTGTGTGTGTCTCGGCTCGGCTATTATTCACCATGTGCAGCTCACTGAAGAGCTGGCTGGCTGTTGGCTACATTAAGTAAAGATAAAGATAGTTTTGGACCAGATTCCTCAATGTTTACGATCCATTGCACCTGCAGGAGCGAGATGGAAATATGATCGTCTATCGTGTTTAGCTTCACTTCGGCTAGAATTCTAACTTCGTTGTGTTTCAATGCTTTACGTTGCAATCTGCGAGATACTTACTTAAGTATTAATCCCATCAACCCTACCATTCCAGATGTTATTTCGATGCCTAACACCACAGGGTACGCCCACGATGGTGGATAACAACCCGACACAAGCCGCGCCTAATCTCATGCTGACTGAAATCAGAGTGGTGTCAATGAATTGACTTTC